GTAATACGTCTTGGGATCTCCTTATCAAAATTAACATCAAAATCACAAAGATTATGCTTCAAAGCTAGAACATCTTCTAAACATCCACTAGACTACCACAAATTGGTTTCAAGTTCATTATCACCTTCTACATTATCTATATTCTCATGCAATTCCCTATCCTCAGCTTTCTCATAATAATCTTCATCAAAGTTCAATGGGGAAATAAAATGGCTAGTGTTTTGTTGCTTAATATTTTTAGTATTTTCTAACATTTGGCTCACATAGACTCTAATATTTTGAGCACTTGACACTAGTGACAAAGTCCTTTTGTGAATTTGAAAGTTTCCTTAATGAATCTATAAGGTCCTCAAATAATCTTTCCAACCAAGACTCCTCTCTATACTCTTGAGTATTTTTCTCAACATGTGGATACGAGTGAAAAGATAAGGTCATTTCATTTCAATGATAATCTAAATGAGGATCTCAAGACTCATGTTTCTCTAGACTCCAACTAGGACTAAAAGAATTATCAAAATAAGTTTTACTCCTAGTGAAACCATCTCTCATGTAGTTAGAGGTTTTGCTAAAGTGACAATGCTCACAAATGACTTTGTCCACAATAAACACAAGAAAAGTCATAATATTGAGAAGAATCAATACATGGATTATAACTAGCATTCAAATGCATATTATATTGCTTCCTTTCATTTAAATAGCTCATACAAGAAATCAATTCATCTTATAATGAAGAAAAGGAATTCATTTCTTTCTCAATATTAAAGCCACTTGAGTTCCACTTTAAATCCTTTTTTCCAATTTTCTTTCTTCTTTTCAAACACAAAGAACACTATCACAAATTAAAAGAGAAACAACAACACAAAAAAGCAACTTGAACATGCTATTTACAAGACCTAAACTTAAGCTACTAATGCTCAATCAATTCAAACCAAGAAAATCAAAGTGAACTAAGAAAATCAACAGCTCAAAAGAAAAAGAAAAGAATTCTTAATCGAGAACTACTAAAGGTCTTTTAATACTAATTACCAATTACTTTAATTTTCTAGCAATGGTGCCAAAAACTTGATGCACACAAAAAAATATAGACACCACAAATGTACAAGTTGCAATTATAGCTAATGGCAAATCAAGGTCAATCTCATAAAGAATTAAGTAAAATGAAAAATAAGTATTAAATTCCTAATTTCATTGAAATTAAGCAAGTGACTTATAGTGATGAATGGTTCAATAAAAAAAAAAGAAAAATGTAAAGTGTGAAACTAAGATTTGAAGTGCTCTAAAGTAAAAAAAAAAAAATCAATTAGAAGATCACCCTAGAGTTCTAATCTCTCATTTGCTCAAGTGTACTCAACTTATCAATTAAATTGATTTTAATTTCAGTTTTAAGGATTAAGATACTATAATTAATCTTGAATATACTCTGATTACCCAAAATCGTACTTAATTCTAACTCAACAATTTCTTGCCAAAATTAGATTAAAGGCATTAAGTTTAAATTTCTTCTAACCACTCAAGTTCTTTAGGTACATTCCTATCCTAGAGGCAAATTAATTATAGTTAATTCTAAGCATTCAATTCCAATGGTCTAAATAGAAATTACTTTCCCAAGTTCATTCTGTTACTCCAAATTATCACCTAATGGTGGCCAATCATCAAGCAACTTAAAGATAAACTGGAATTAAAACATAAAATATCTATTAATCACAAAAGCGATAAATCAAGATACAACAAGAGCAAATGAATTCACAGGACTCTAAAGTATCAAAGTTCAGCTACACATAGCTAAATAGCAAATATAGTCTTAAAATAGCAAAATAATGGGACAAAACTAGATACATAGGTGAAAGAAAGAGAAAATTGAAGGAAAAATCAATGAAAATATAGATGGTAATGAGCTATCTTTCTCCCAAGCTCCAAAATCATCCTGGGTTCTCCAAAATTTCCCCTGGACCTTTAGAGAACGTAAAAAACGAAGCCTTATTAAAAAAAACCTAGTTTTCCTCTTTTATCAAACAAAAAAATTAAAAATGTGCATTCTAGTATGACATCCACTGGCAGGCTCCGTTCCTTGTTCAGAATTTGCTATATAACACTAATCTGTTGTAGTGGTTATCGTAGTAGGTGATCATTAAAGTCTAATTTCTTTATTAAAATCATCATATTTTTCTTCCTCTACTTCTTCTGAGCTTTTATAGAGTTTTCTAAAATTAAAATGACTCAAATTAAAAATCAAAATTACTCTAAAATAAATCAAAACACAATATTTACATGACAAGTTAACTAACACAAAAATAAACAATAAACACAAGACAATTAACTAAAAATAACTAGATAACTCTCCAATTAACTAATAAAACTCCTCAAAATACATAAAAATATAAAGAGTTATCATAACGTTTTTAGGCGAGGGTTCTGCAAGGGACTTCAAGGGAAGACTCTTGAGGCTTGAGGTTATATATTGGAAAAATGATAAATAAATTTTTCTAAAATAGGAAAATGACAATTTCGTCTCACAAAATATTATAATATCTTCTAAATCTCAAGGAACCTAATTATCATTAAAGTTTTTAATGAAATGACAAAAACACCCCTTCATTTAAAAAAGTGAAGAAAAATGGTGGAGAGATAGTTATGACTTCCTAGAACACTTTAGTCATTTACTGAACCAGACTTGTGATTTCAAAACCAAAATTGTGAATGAAAAAAAAGCTTTTGTTGCACTTTGTTGATTGGAAAAAAAAAATGGTGAGAGAAAGTTATAAATTCCTAAACCACTTTAATCATTTACTGAATTAAAGTTGTGAATTTTAGAATCAAGGTTGTGGGGAAAAAGAAACTTTGTCACACTTTACTAATTGAAAAACAAAATGATGAGAGAAAATTGTGAATGCCTAAATCACTCTAGTCATTTGTTAAATTAGAGTTGTAAATTTTAAAACTAAAGTAGTGAATGAAAAAAGCTATGTTGCTTTTTTAAATTAAGGAGTAATTTCTTTCATTTCATTAAAAATTTTAATGATAATTAGGTCTCTTAAAATTTAAAAAGCATTATCACATTTCGTGGAATTAAGTTGTCATTTCTTTATTTTGAGGGGATTTATTTGTTATTCTCCCTTATATATTTCCCTTGTAATTGTCTCACTTAGTTTACATATGAATGCAAACTTTTAGGAAAATGTGATTTGTTTTTTTATACAAAAAATATGATTTGTTGTGAATACAATGGATTTAATTGTTGTTATTGTGGGTTTGAAGGTACAACTTGTGTTGTGAACATTAAATATGCCATAGGCCCATCTGTTGTGTAAATGTTTGGTTTTAAAATTTTATAAAATAGTTATATCCTTTTATCACGGTAGACATGTCGCTAAGTTTGTCTCTTATCTTATAGTTAGCTTTCTTGTAACCAGCTAAATTCACCCTATTATGATAGTCTTTATCAGGTTTAATTATTTTCTCATAGCATGTACTTGTAATTTCTAATATGTTTTCCTTCATAATTTTTTCTATCATGGTAAACTTTTTTTTTTTTTACCATATTGAGATTTCTTTATACTTTTATGCGTTAAACTTAATTACAGTAATTGTTAAAATATGTAGTCTGCCTTTTTTACATTATAGTTGGCCCTGTTAAATTAGTTTTCAAATTTTCTTTCCATCGTAATCCTTAATTTATGAAATTAACCACCCTTTTAGAATGTCTTAAGCTGGCTTTTACCATATTATATTTATTATTGTTACAAACACCATACGAATGCACGTGCGTAAGAGGAACGATCGCCAAAATATTATAAAGGTATGCCAAAAAAACAAAAAAACAAAAAATGTAAGTACCAGTGTATTCCCTAATAAACTTTTGCCAAAAAAAAAACAAAAAAAAAACCTGATGAATTGTAAAACTAATAGAAAGGGTTATGAATATTTTTTATTTTATACAACTGATTGCCAAAATTATATAGAAGTCCCACATAAGGAACATATTTACCAATAAATTCTACAATTTTATAATAAAAATATTTTCAAGTCTCATGAAACTTGATTATAATTAATTTTCCTTGTAAAATGATGCCTTGCAAATTTAAAAATCTGACTTGTAAATCAATTGTAAAATTTAAAAACCATTACAAAAATTATATAAATTTACTTGTAAACATACTATATCAACTAGTAAAATTAAAATATTGACTTCTAAATATTAAATTACTATTTTCTTAAACATTTATGTATAATTTAAGGTATTTGATTTGTATTAATATTGTAAAAGATTAAATTGGTAATACATAAAGTTTAAGTTATAAATCTTAAAATTTTACCTGTAAATATGTGATGTTTAATTTGTAAATGTTATAATATAATTACTTCAATATACTTTTTTTAAAAAAAAAATTGCCAAGCCTACGTTGACCATAGTCAGCAGCCACCGGTCATCCCGGAGGATTGATTAACGCTTGGTGGTCGGTGAACGTCAATCAACAGAATTAATGACATTTGAGTCTTTTTGTGCAAAGAATATTAACAACCAAAATTTTATCCCACGGGTCGTGCAGCATATTTATTTGTAAATATGTTTCTTACTAACTTGTAATTTTTCCAAACTAAAACTAATTTGCATGTTCTGCAATGATGAGAGATATAAAAATATGAGAATATACAAAATTTAAAAACAAGCATTTTTTTTTAAAAAAAAAAAGTTATTCTTAAAGTTTGCCGTTGACATTATGACTTCCGATAGAAGTGGCACTTCTTTAGCCATCTTGATGGATGGCTCTTTGCCACGTTTGATCTTTGAAGGAAAGAAGTGGGCTTTCCTAGAAAGTTATTATTGTCTACTATTACGAAAAAAATCCTTCCTTTCCTTGAACAACTTTCCTGACAGCCAAATATGCCCTAAAAACCAATAGAATTGTTACGGAGACAACGGTAGTGCAATCAACCGAAAAAAAAAAAAACGGAAGCGAAAACAAAAACAAAAAATCCAAAATAACACCCAAAACCAGAAATAGAAAGCCTAACAGACGCAAATCATGTCACGAGAAAATTTTCGCGGCGAGTATTAACAGCTTCTAGTGTTCTAAACATTCTAGCTGCAATATGTTCAAGAATAAACAAAAAAATAGTGAATTGACTGACGAGATATACCCCATTCCTTATATTGAGGATTTTCGAATATTATAAAATCTGGAAGAAGAACCACCACCATGAGCTATCGCACTAAGTTGGTAATTTACAGTTTGATCCTTCAAAATAGAAACAATATGCAGGTTCAATTTCTGACTAGAAAGGTAATTAACAAAACCTCATTTAAAATAATACAACTTCAATGCATTACCAATGAAGTTATCTCGTGTCTGATTTTGGAAAGGATTAATTAATAAGAATATGTGTTTATCTCACATCTGTTTATTTAAACAAAAACATAAAATCAGCACATATAAATTAGATGGAAGCCATAAAATTAACCAACAGTTCATCCTACATACCGGAGACATGTTTCATGCTTGTTACTTGGGTGAAGTAGAAGATAAAACCCCAACTTGTATTGATGGGTGGCCTGGAAGTTTTGTCAATTCATGATTTCCTTGTAGAAGGGATGCCCTTTGAGGGTTTGAAAGCATCAGTTGTTGCATGTCCTTTGACAGCATATTGAAAACAGCCTGAAGGTCTTCCCTTAGTTTCTGACAGCTTGCTGGGGAATCTACACTAGCCCTTCTAGATTGTTGCAGCTACAAATTGAAATTAGCAATTGACAAGTGTAGAACACAAAATGTTTCCTCTAAATTTAAATCAATCTTATTGTACCGCACAGAATATCCTTTCAAAGGTTTATGCACTGAATGTTGCACGGTATTTTCTATGAAACTGGTGAAATTCTTGGTCAGACCCAAGTAAGGGCATGCTCAGCCAGCAGAAACAAATGGAGTAAAATGAGACCCAGTCAAACTAACTTCTTTCCCCCATTCAATGTAAAACCAAAGATCAATAAATACAAACAAGAAGAAGCCTGGGTAGGGTTGGCTACATGAATTGCATTATGCCATTGTGCTTTATCATTTACCAACTTTTTAGGAATGTTGTTAACTAATAAATACATAATCACCAAAAAAAAAAAAAAAGTAACACATAAATATATGTATACCAGATCTTTGACAATCAGTGTCAACATATTTGGTTGCTTTCAACTTATAGTCAGTCCTATTGAATATCATTAAAAAAAATATTCTGATAAAAAGAGAAAATGCTTTGATAGCTGAAAATAATAACTAGCTAAACATATGTATATGATAGAGCATCTTACATTCATGTCTGAGGAAGATAACTGTACAAACAATTGCACATCATTAGTGGAGGGCCACTGAAGAGCAAGTTACCTGTACTTCTCTAACGAAATGTCTCTCTATAGCATTGAAGGAATCTACAATTTCCAACTCAGTCATTTTAGATAGAAGCTGTTGTATGTCAATTGTCATTCTTGAATGCCTCCACAATCTGTCTTGCTCCTGTTCCGCAACAGCTTGCCTCCTCTGAAACCATGGCATAAAGTTGGGTCCCTTCAGAAATCGCCTGGCAGGAGAAATTAAACACATTCATTTCAAAGTTGTTAAATCAAGCAAATGACATAGAATCAAACTGTTGAAAGACTAAACACTTAATAGCAAGGTTATATTGAAAAATGTAATTGTAAGGTGAGTGCAAATAGTATTACATAATAAATACAGCAAAGAAAAGAAAATCCATTACCTGTATAGATCAAGCCAGTTGGATTTCATTCGCTTTAATAAGAACTTCCCTGGACCTCTTGCAGATAAACTTGCAAGAAATTCTTCAGCATTAAATGGAGGTAGAGGTGGCGGATCTGCATAAGGAGAAGTTCCTTCAGATGGTGCAGTGGTCCTAAAATATGGACCAAAAGGGGCCAAAAAATTTGTGGTGAGCTCCAAGAAATGCCTCCTTAATATCTCGTTGTTAACAACTGACATTGACTCTTCAACCCTTGGCAAAATCCCAGCATCAATAAGCCTATTTAAGATAGAAGTGTCTGGCTTAGTTGTGGCAGAATAAGTACTCCAGATTGCTTCCTTATGTTCGGTCATAAGGCAAAGAGGACCATCTCTCCGCAGCTTAACTGCATTCAACAAACTTGAAGGAGAAAACTTCTTTAGAGAAAGTTGTTGAATCCCAAGACCTTCGTTTCTGCCAGTTGAAGACCTACTTGGAAGGGTGAGCCTATTTGAATTAGGAGGAGGGCTTCCAACTGAGACAATGTGGGGGATGTTGCGGAGGGCTTTAAGGAAAAATAGGTTTGTCACCCCCAAAACCATTGTGGGGAAAGTTTCACCTTCTTTTAGGGAGTTTAAGTGTGCAAACTGAGGATCATGGATGGTAAAATACGGCCGGAAATCAACACTGCAAAGTAAAGGGGCAACCAAACTCACGAGACTGGCCACAGCTTCACAACACTGGGGAGGTGTGGGGGCAATGATAAGAATAGGTTCCCCAATAAGTAACAACTCCCATAGCAACCAAAGTTGCAATAAAAGGCCCCGGAATGTACCAAAAATATCTGAATCATGAAAAAGACCTTGTGGGGTATACTGGTTATTAGGCAAAAAAGGTGCCACTGAAGAAGCAGACTCTTCAAAAGATTCTCCACTTTCAACAGGCAAGCTATGAGCAGGTGGCAGGTACACTTTAAGAGTTGAATTCCCAATCGGAAGATCCATTAACTTACCAGGAATTGGAGCTGGCCATGTAGAGACATATGTGGCAATATGCTCCAAAGCTTTCTTACCAATGTCAAAATACAAGGGCCCTATAATTTGTAACAAAGGTCTAAACACACTAGAATATGGATGGTGGGACAAGATGACCACAGACTTCTGCTCCCCTCCTCGCTTTAGCCTCTCATCATGTCTCTGTCTATTAAAGACATAACCATACATGTACCTAGAAGCATTGACATTATTGCTACCAGAGGTTCTACTGAGATTGCTAATGCATATGGATTTTGAAGGAAATCCCCCGTCAACTTCAGTAATCTCAGAATGAGTACCATTGCCAATTTGTGATTTTAGGTTCCTACAAATTCGGAAAAAGAAAATAGAATCATGAATGCTTGAACGGTTTTGCTGCTGGGAAATGGAGTCTGGAAATGAACTATAAGCAATGTCAAGCTCCTCATCACGTGTAAGAGAGCCTGGAGGATAACACTCTTCTACCAGTTGACCTTGTTCAAGATCAAACCTTATAGCACAAAGGGCAACAATCCACAATTGTAACGATTCTAAGTCCATACTTGGACTTGCTTCTGTTTTAATAGATAAAGCAGAAGCAGACTGACTCATGTTCAGAAAACAATAGTCTGAGCTTTTGTAAGTCAAAAGACCCTCTGATTCATTTTAGACAACCATTGCATGCTAGAAAAACAACAGAATCTTCATTGGCATTGAGGACAAGAAGTTTAATGAAAACTCCACACTTTAAAGTTCTCTTGATAATGAAAATTTCATGCTTTCAAGTTCTCTTGATTGTCTCCACCTAACCAACAATTTGATGCCTGAAAAGACACCCAAAAAAAAAAATGTATTAGTTGGCAGATAAAAACCTACTTTTAAGGAAAGCTAGATTCTAACTCCACATGAGTTGATCGGAAGAGTAAAAACTTTCACAAAATCACATTCTAATTAAAAATTGAGTAATAATACCATCAATGTTTAGTTAATTGATAAATATTAGCACCCATACTATTATAACATGAGTAAATACTAATTATGCTATTGGAACATAAGTGTCTAGCAAATACTACTTATACCTCAACAATTAACATCCATGCTATAAGAACATAAAAAAAATTTACCAATGCTTCATACACAGAAATTAATCGAACTACTAAAACATTATTAGTCATCCATTACATTTGCTTGCTTGTTAGTAGCAACAAAATGCTATTTTCATAGCTCAAACTAACAAAAACATAATGAGCTGATATATAAAAAAGAGTATGCTCATATCAAATACGAATCATTAAGTATTAAACAGCTAAAGTTACTCTACAACTCTATTAAAAAAAAAAAAAACCATGCCATGGTCTATGAGGTGAGGATTCAATGGGACTCGTGTGAAATAAGAAGACAAAACACCCTGATAAGGCAAGTTAAACAAAAGCAAATATAAATGTGTCTAGACTGCAATGGCTAATAACAGTGAGAAAAAGCTAATGACTGTGAGATAAAGCTGACAGACTGCAACGGCAGTAAAAATCTTCAATGTTTGTGTGATAAGCCATATGAATCCTTTAACTAATGGTTTATGTTTATCTTGCTCTTCAACAGTCATTAGCTTAAGTCACCAAAATGCTCTTCAAGATTTATAGAGTAGACTCTAGTGATAGATCCTTCCTGTAAAAAGAGAAAGTCATTTCTAAGAATAGAAACCTCTATTTTGACTAACAACTACATATTTAAGCGATAAATAAATCTCTAATCTTTATACACATGGACAACAGGAAAATTGCCATACCATAAAAATGTTAAGCTCCAAACCCATTGCTTTGGTTATATAAGCTTTCTTTTTCTTCTTTCTGTGAACAGACCAACATCCAAACAGAAAATAATTGAACACAACAGAAAGCATTTCTACCTTCGAAAACCAAAAAGAATACATCTGCAAATTCAAGCTTCATGTCTAGAACCAAATTGTTGAAGGAGTGAAATCTGGATAAAACATTGACATGCTAAAGTTTGATTACAGGTTAAATGAGCAAATTAAACCCTGAAATAAGTAAAAGGAAATAGAATGGAGTTGTTGAAAGATCTGTCAGAGAATTCTTGAAATGGCTAAGAGTATTGCCACTTTCAAATTGTGTGATGGATTCATGCTTTTGGATGGATTGGACTTATATATATATACATATTGAAATTTATTGGTCTCTTTAAGTTTTGAAGCAGGAATATTTTTCATTTTTTATTCCTTTTTCTGTTTTTGGCCAATTCTGAAGCTGGAATCGGAGCAGTGTGCTCGCAGCTAATTGCAAAAGAACATATCCCATAATTCCTTTTTTTTTTTTTTGGAGGGTATATTGAAAACGTAGGATTGGGTTCCTTCACAGTGCCAAAACATATGTAGTTCAGCAAAGCCCTTCCGAGTGAAATAAATAAGCCCCTGGTGTTACATAAGAATTAGATTACACCAAAGCAAATAACAGTTTTATATTATTTAAACCACAATTTATGCTACAATGCTGATTGAGCAGGCTTCACATCATATCCCAACTCAATAAAAAATCCACAGTGACTCATAACAGCTGTACCCATTTACATTTCTGAAGCATGAGCAAAATCAGTTCAGTGTATTGTCAGTACATGGGAAAAGTAACCAAATTTCTGTATGCAATCATAAAGGATGGGCATCAAAAAAAATAGAAGGACCATATAGATATGTTAGTCAACAGCCTCCTTATTGTAATTGTTTCTTCAATGCTGCATGCTAAAGAGTTATCTTTTTTAATTTCTAAGCATGGTAAAAATTAATTATTTCTATCATACAAGACACACCAACCAAATCTATACCTTCAGAACATCCAATACAGCTGACAAACTACATGACAAATGAGAGACAAAACTTCTCATATACCCTGTCCATGCACAACAATATTGTTCAAATCCTCTAATCTTTACAGTTTCTAATTCTTAAGTCACGTTCTTTAACATGAACATTAAGAAGAAGCAAATCACATGTACATGAAAAATTCATAATTCGTATTCAGTTCATATGTGTAATAAAATTTACAAACCCTCTTATCACTCAAATTGCTTATGCTAGCACATCCAAAAAACAAAAGAAAACAGTAACATGATATGTGGCACATTAATTATTTTTCATATCTTTGATCTTGAACACTGAAAGTCAGAATATCTATTAAATCAGAAGAAAAGCAAGATGTCAAGATGATACCTGAGGCATGAATTAATATACCAGTTCCCCTTGATTGTTGCTTCAAGCACTGCAAACCACTAAGATAAAATTAATCTGTGTGCTCAGAAAGATTCATGGGAATAGCAAAATGATTTAAAGATACACCAAACAAAATAACATGAAAGACGCAAAACTCTAGTCAGCTAAATATCACCGAAGAAATGTAGAAATATAGGTATTCTCCTTTACAAAATTTTTCAGGAAATAGTAGTTTATGCAGTCTGCAAACACTGCCAAAACTCTAGTTGCAAGATATTCATCTGACCTGTAGATAGCATAAAACTCCAGTCAATGATGGAGTGAGTGTGTCAATCGAAACACACAAACATAGTAAAATTTCTACCATTCAATTCTGAGAAATGTTTAAGGTGATATCATATTTTGCTAGAAGACACATAAAAGAGATCCAAGAAAAGAGAAGCATGTGCAAGGCAATAATGAAGGTGAAGGGAAAGAGAAGCTTGTCAATTTCAATTGTTCATTTTCCCCTCCGATTTCCCTTTGCATTTCCACTTCTTAATCACATATTTAAACACTTTAGATTAGATTAAATAGAAAAATGGCGTTCATGGAAGAAATATGAAGAAGAGAAGCCCCTGGTGCCTCCTTCGATTTCCATCCATTCCTTGTAGCTTTCATTGAATGTGGATGAGTAAAAGGAGGAGAAAGAGAAGAGGCAAGAGAGATGACATTGAGAGAAAAAGAACCCGGAGATAGATAATAAAATTAGATAGGGAATTGAAATTTAAATTTTAAATTTTAAATTCAAAAAAAGGGAAATGAATGAGAGGCAACTTTGATTGAAATCCCTGACACAGAAAAGACTAAAGAAACTGAGGTGAGGGAATTAACGAAGGGAGTCTTCTATTGCTCCAATAGCTCATGCGAAGGGGACAGCTTGCAAGGTCAACGGTGGTTTGGGGTTCTCACAGTAAAGAAACATACGATTTTGTATTCGTCTCAACTTCTCACCTGTACACCTCCCTAATTCATCCTACTATTTTTTTAATAATTTTTCAAAATTTTCTTCTAAAGAAAAGGGCACAAAAAAACTACACCCAATAAAGTTAGATATTTTCCCTGAAAAAAAGAAAACAAAATTTGAATGAGCCAAGGCAAGCCATGGAGAAGCGAGGAAGCTAACCCTATTGAGTGCTATAGGGATATGAGTCAGGAGCTAAAGAAAAGGGCCATATATCAACTTCATCAACAACAACAGGCCTTATCTCACTGTGTGGGGTTGGCTATACGAATTGTACGATACCATTGTGACCTTTCATATGCCAGTCTTTTAGAAATGTTGTTAACTAAAAAATCTCGATCAATAATTTCCAAAAGATTTTCTTTGCCCTTCCTCTATCCCTTTTGATAGGGCTCAATTATTCGTTCCACTATCCTCATTGGTGTCTCCCGCGGTTTTTTTGTACATGTCCAAATCATCTTAAATGATTTTCTACCATTTTTCCCTTACTAAGTGCTATGTCCACTTTTTAACATATGTGCTAAGTTCGAATTTTATCCTTACGTGTATGTTTGCACATCCATCTCAATATTCTCATTTTTGCTACTCCAACTTTATACTCTTATTATCCCGTTAAAGCCCAACATTCACTACCATATAACAGCTGATCTTATAGCAGTTCAATAAAACTTCCCTTTAAGTTTATTAGGTATCTTAGAATCGCAAATAACTAATTTAGCCTTTCTCCAATTAAACCATCCAACTTATATCCTTTGTACAATATCCACTTTAATTTTTCCATCATGTTGAATAATAGCTTTCAAATATCTAAACTTTTTCACTTGAAGTATAATCTAATCTCTCAATTTCACTTCCTGATCTTTGATTAAAATTACAATACAAATACTCCATCTTACTCCTAGTTGGGTGAAAACGTTTTGACTCCAATGTCTTCCTCTATAACTCATTTTTATAGTTAATCTCTTCTCATGTCTCTGCAAATAAGGACTATATCATTTACGAAGAACATGCATTTGGAAATTTCCTCTTGAATACACTAAGTCAAAACATCTAAAACCAAGTCAAACAAAAAAGGACTCGAAGATGATCCTTGATGTAGTTCAATCCTTATAAGAAAATCCTTTGTTTCACTACTAGAAGTTCTTATACTAGTTATTGCCCCTTGATATATATCTTTTATACCTGTAATATAGGCAACCTAGACTCCGTTCTTTTTCAAGGCCTTCTTAGTGCATATATCAACTTCCAAACTACAAATTTTGAAAACAATATATAAGAGTGGCAACTCTAATTCAGACACACTGCTCAACTGCTTCACTCACCTTAGTTAAAGATCCCCATCAAGTCACCATCACTAAAGCATATAAAAGATCTAAAATTTCATAAAGTTCATCCCATAAGCTTCTCAATGACCACTTAGTGAGTTAGAAAGAAAAATTTACTGATTCATAGCAAGATCCCAATATTGTAAAGATTCAACAAAGGGTTCTTAGCACAGTACCTAGACACAAGAAGTTAGGAATTCAGGAGATGTTCCTAGAATGAATCCATTTGAATCACCAAAAATGAACAACTTTACCCATCCATATAACAAACAAATTTCTAGAAAAATCAACTTGCATAGAGTGTCCAGCATTAGACAAGCAATTGAAGTCCTAATGTTTAGGTTCCTAACCCCAAACCCTATCTTGCAACTGCAAAAATCCTAAAATCCAAAACATTAAAGCTAGAACCCAAGCCCCAATCCCTAAATCTCCTAAAGACTCAGCCTTCCCCCACAAAAAATAAAAATAAATAAACAAACATAAATAAATAACCTAAGGCCAAAAACCCTAAAATTTGAACCTCAACCCTGAAACCTGAAACACGAGCCCCTAAACCCAAAACACTAACAAAAAGGATTAAGGGTACAGGTTTAAAAATTGACACAATTGAAAAGATGCAAAGTCCCACATTAGATAGAGCAAAACCTAAGGAATGAAAATAGGATACCCCCATGATTGAAACAGTAACAGCAAACATCAATGATGGAAGATGAAAGACTCCTAGTAGGAATAGGAAACCTTAGAATGTTAGGTTAATTTTTGTTATCTTAGATTATTAGGGCCAACTTTTTGTTTGAATATGGAGAGTTAATCAGATTATGATTTATTATTAGGGTTAGGACTAGAACACTAAAAATAGTGTTAGGTTTTCTTTCTTTGTCAGGCATTATTGATGAATTGAATAAAATATTAAATTGTTTTCTCTCTACCTCAAGTTTCTTCTCCATCCCTTGAATTCATCTGGTTCCTCCCTCCTTTGTGTCGTTATCCCTCATCTTTTCTGGTTCCCCCTTTGCCTTCCATGTTCTACATCAATCAATTGTTAAGAGGACCCCAATGTGAGCATTAGGACATTAACTTATTGGAATGGAAAGAAATCTTGTTATCCACCAAAATGTTTAAATTGCACAGCCATTAGCACTTGCAACTTGTGTACCTTGAAAAAAAGTCCACAAACATATTGTAACCCAAGATCATCTGAATACTTGAAGTACTAATTAGAGCTGATATAGCTTGCATCATTCGTATAAACCTCAACAAACCAATTGCATGGTGTTTGAAGTGGGCCTGCTACCACTTACAAGGCCCAAACCTAGCAAAACCTTTTTTTCCTTGGTTGGATCAGATCTGATTATTTTCTGTCTTCATTTGTTTTTAAGTTTCCGAGATTATAGGAGGAATCTAGGTTATTTTCTGTCTTCTATATGCTGAGTTCAAGGAACGATTCATTCCCTCAAGCCATGATTGTTCATCATCTCAATAGAAACAACTATCTTCACTGGTCATGCAACATTCTAATGTTTGTTCAAGGAAGGAATGGAAAGAAGTATCTCACTGAAAATCCTCCGGCATGTGAAAGTTGGTAGACACTTCATCATGGAAAAAATTGAAGATGGTTTAATTAATTTGTACTATATCAGGGCCAAGGATCATGTAGCAGATTTATTTACAAAACCACTGCCAAGAGACTCATTTAAAAGACTAAGAAGCAAGTTGGGAAGGATTGACATCTATTCTCCACTCTCCAGCTTGACAGGGAGTGTTGAAAGTACTAAGGCCCAAGCCCACTGCACTGTGTTTCACTTATCATTAGTTGCTTCATTATTTTATATTTTTCCTGTAATTTATATTCAGTATTTATCTCCTCTATTCTAATTTTACCCTAGATTTACCCTACTCAACTTAACCTATACACTGGCTGAGTTATATATACGTTTTTGTTGCTGCCTCTGAAATATATCAAGCAGTATTCTTTCTTTTCGCTCAGAGTACCTTAGAATATCTGGTGTATCAATCTTTCAGCAGTGCCAATCTGTATTGGAGCCTTATGATTGAATAACATAATTCAGAGGAGTAGAGCCGGGGGGGGGGGGGGAAACTACCTGAAGCTTCTGGATACCCAATTCTACAGTAACCTTTGTTAATTCTCATCTTCTTCTGGACTTAAATCTCTTAATTTTTTTTTTTTTTGGGGGGGGGGGGGATCAGCTTGACACACCCCAAGCTTTTGCTCAAGGACTTTCACATGAACTCAAATTGGAGATTTTCGAAAACGTGAAATTTGATTATTAAGCCCATACTAAACCGAAATCATGCAATTTGGCCGTGTCAATTCTTAGTATTCAAGCTCAAATATACCAATCTGGCATTCAGGTGATAAGAATATTAAAGCTTATTTTCTCATTACGTATCTTCTGGGATCATAACACGTTCAGTACAGGAAACTAATCCAACTAAAAAAAAAAAAAAGTCATCTACGCTTGAGAAGACAAAGAATCGCAATACCATTGAGATATACCAATTAAAGAGAGTTCCATCGGCCAACTTCTTGTACCCAAATAAGTCCCATTGGTCATCAAAATTACAAACCAAGGGCCTTAAAGACGCAAAGAATCGGTTTCACACGTTAAATACACAACTCAAAGTTCAATTCAATTTGGCAAAACTGCACATGCATTCAAACCCTAAGTATGTCTTACTATAATAATGCAATAGATGATTCTATAAAAAGACAAGTCTACCGAAATTCACGAACAATTAAAGCAGAACCTAATCGACACCCCAAAAAAAAAATAGAAAAAAAAAACAAAGTAGAAAGTGCAGGATCAAAATCCCATCAGAAGTAGATCCGTAAGAAGCAAATTAAACTGGCGAACAGGACACCCAAATTAGCAGGTAAAGTAGATACCTTTTCAGCTATATCATTGCGATACCAGATGCTTGGCCTCCCTACGTCAGTCATCACTCTCAGCTTCTCAATCTCACTCTCCTTCTCGATCGCTCTTCATGTCCCTCTTTTATCTCTTGGCCTCTCCCTCAAATATTCTCCGTTCTTCCCTTCCTCTATTTCGTTCCCCCTCTTTTCTTTCTTACCGAAAGTCTCACCCTCTCAATTACTCTCCTCTGTTTCTACTCCTTTCCGTCCGTCCAGAAACTCAAACTCTCATAGCCTCCTCTATCTCGTGATCTCGTCTGTTTTTATATCTTCAGATACGCATGACATCGACCAAATCTTCCTTCAACACTGAAAAGCAGCTTGGTTCTGTGTGCACGCAAACTTCTTCGTCTCGCCGTAGCAACCGCCGTTTGCTTCTTCTGTCACCTTCGCTGCAAGAGGAGGGTGATCCCGCCGAAGTTATGCGGCGTATCAACCACTTATTTTTTCCCGTATTTTCTTCTTCCAAATTTTTCAATTTATTCAGTTAATTTTATTAAAAAAATAATAACAAAATTCTCCTTAAGCATATAAATAATAATTTAATCCTTTAAAATATTATAATTCAACTAAATTTTTTAAAATTTTTTTATTATTAATAAATTTATATAAATAATTAAATTTTTTTATTGAAAATAAAACTATTCACAAGTGTTGTTTAAATAATCACAACTTTTTTTCTTATATTCATAACAATACAATAGTAAATCAGGAATTTAACATATGAAATTATAATTTATTATTACATTATTGCGAATGTAAGAAAGAAAGTTGTGATTATTTAAACAAAACTTGTGAATCATTTATTTTCAATAAAGGCAATTTGATCATTTATATAAATTCATTAATGACAGAAAAGTCTTTAGAAACTTCAATAAAATTATAACATTTTAAGGGATCAAACTGTTATTTATATAATTTAAAGAAATTTTATTATCATTTTTTTAATAAATTGATTTATACATCTATTTTCTTTGTTTTTCACTTTTTTAGGTGAATTTAAAATTTAAAAGATAGGAGAAAATATTGACAAAAATTACATTAAAATAATTTTGATAAGTTTGAAACTTCAAAATAATAATACCTTAATCAATAGGCCCCTTATTATAAGTTACTTATAATATATATCACAAAAAAAATTTTAAAATTGTTATATTATTAAAAAATTAATTATATTATTAAAAAATTTTAAAAATTGTTTTGATTTTCATTTTAGTTTTTAATATATATCATAAATTTAAGAAGCAATGCTGTTTTTTATCTCCACATTGAAAATTGAAAAGAATGACACATATTAAGTAATAAAGTAAATAATGTTACACTCTTGTCTCAATGTTATGCACCGTAGCCAAAAGCACCATGTGCCACAACAGAAGTGGACTAACAGCATTTTGACAAAATAAATAGTAACAACCAACTTTAAATAAATATAACTTTTAGTATGTTTATCCAAAATGAGTGATTTAAATGTCCACACAGCTCATAACATAATTTAGTTATTAGCTTTGATTTGGCATAAAAACACCTCCGTATAAGGATTTTATCCACAAAACCTTTTTTAAAGTCATAAAACAAACTTCCAGCACAATTAACTTCATCAAATCAACACCAAAGCCAACACCAATGTGTAGAGCATTTGGTCACAACCAAACAACATTTACAACTCAATAATTCATCCATATATATAAAATTTTCATAATTAAGTTACAACTATCCAATATAAGTTATACCAAAAACCAAACAAACTTGACATGCTTTGATTAAAATCTCAAAACATGTTTTCAATGCTTGAATTGTAACATCTTGAATTTCAATCTAAAGAACTAGTTGCTAATTAGGGATAAATTAATAATTAGTGGATTGATTATAATTTAGATGTTGGGTTAATGTGTGATGTTGATTGATTGTTATATTAATAGGATTGAAGGGTGGAACGGCAATTCAAGATGAAACGCGTGAGCATAAGTAAGATTAACCTCACTTGCCATGCACCGTGATAGATGCTGCATGTACCATGGCGTATTGCATGGAAATCACTTAAAGCTCACGTGAACAGCTTATAAAATGAGAAAGAAAAAGTGTGAAAATGCATCTGGAGAGGAGGAGGAGCTCATCTTTGCTAAGGCAAGCATTATCCGGCTATCAAGAATTTGCTTCAACTAGTGACTTATTGAGTAAATATTGTATAGCCCTACACTACATTTCTACCCTATTTTCTCTGAATTTGGTCTGTAGAGAAATTGAATCAAAAAGTTTTAAGGAGTTATAATATAAGGGAAAGACTTGAAAAGGGCTTTCGAATGCAAAACTAAGGTTTTGTAACTAATTTAAAGTGAAATGATTAAACCTTAAGAGTTTAGCCTCAAATTAGGCTAAAGAATTAGGTTAAAATAGAAAAATAGTGAATAAATAAGTTAGAAGGGTACTGTGGTCATTTGAATGGCCTATAGGGCTAATGACTTTGAAAGGTGCTAATTGAAATGTTTTGTGTGTTAAGGGATTCAGTTTAGCCGAATTAATACCTATATTAAATGTTAGAAATTGATTAAGGGATATTGCATTATGTAGATTGAGCATTTATGACGTTACTTATGAGAATCTATACTCTCGAGAATTCAATACAATTGATAACCTTTAGTAAGAAAGGTAGAAAGGTAAAAAGGTAACTGGAGTAATCTTTGTACTTGTTTGTTTGTGAAATTGTTTACAAGTATTTTATATAACTATGTGCATTATGATTTATAAACTAATAGAGTAGTAGTATTGTGAAAGGAATATGTATGCGGGTGTGTAAGTAATAAATGAAATGTGTGAATGAGACATGTGCATTGCATCTGCGAGTATACCCTAGACTAAGGTAGGGGGTCATGGCCCTACTCTATGCAAAGCTAGGAAGTCTTAAAGGTTTTAAACATGGAGCTTGATTTTACCAAGAAAGACCTAGGATAATGATCAACAAGTGTACCCTAGACTAAGGTAAGGGATCGTGGTCCTACTCTGTGTAAGACTAAGAATTCCTAATAGTCCAAGCATTAAGAATGCTCCTCTAAGTGGGACTCAGGAGACCACCCATACGCGATGAGGATACCTAGCCTGAGACAGCAGTTTGGTGGGCCCTACTTCTTGTAAGACTAGTGTCCTGGTTCAAGCATAGAGTTTGCTCCGCTAGGGGAACCGAGAGTGTATGAGCATAAGCATGATGGATGATGAGTATGAATTCGTGTATATGTATATTATACTATTTTTATTGAAGTACATACTACTTTATCTCTTATTGATAATTTTACTTACTAACCAGTATTTGGGGTTATATCAAAGTTACTAGGACGTATATCTCACTCCATTACCTTTGTATACAGGTGAAGAGAGCGTGAGAAGGCCAAGAAAGAAGATGAGGAAAGAGTAGCCTTGATTGGCAGTTTGTATGATCACCATTGTGAATAATGATTGTATAAAGTTGTAGTTAGAGATTTGAGTTGTCAACTAAGAAGCATAAGTGTATATAAATATGAATATATGAATACGTATCTAATTTTTGGTTCAAAACTTGCTTGTGTGCTATGAATTGTATCTTGTAAAATCTCACTCCACTAAACACAATTAACCAATAAAAACTCATGATAATTAAAGGATTAACTCTAAGTGTGTGTTTGGATAACATCCCAACTTAGGTTGGGATGTTCCAAACTGAGGTTCGAATATTAAAAGTCTAAAAAGTTTTGTTTGGATAGAAAAAAATTGCAGCTAGCGTTGGAGTCTAAATAGGCGCTTTTTATAAAGCCAAGTGCCCCAGCTTTTACAACGCTACGTTGAGTAGGCAGTGGACATTGGGCTTCTCTCTTTTCATTCTCTTTACTAGCCGATCATCTCCTTGCTTTGCTTCACCTCCTAACAGTCCTTTGTTCTAATATCTCCACCTCCCTTTCTTTTGCTTTGCCAGATTTGACCAAAGATCATCACCATCGCTATCCGATCTCAACTGTGTGTATTGCTCACGTTGATTCTTAATTGCCGTTGTCCTTCTTCTTGCATTGAGAGTGTCCCTACTTCAAAAGTGTGGTCGTTGTCGTCCATTCTTCTCCTATTAGATCTATGCTTCCCTGCCTCGATGTGTTCATGTTGATTCTTAATTGCCGTTGTCCTTCTTCTTGCATTGAGAGTGTCCTTACTTCGAAAGTGTGGTCGTTGTCGTCCATTCTTCTCCTATCGGATCCATGCTTCCCTGCTTCGATGTGTTCTTGAACTTGAGGCTCTAACCTCAATGCATCCACCTCCAGCAAAGAAGCAACTTGGGCCATCGTGGAGTTGCAGAGATCACCTATGTTGGCTTCAAGTGAGGAGAAAGGGAAGGGGAGAGAAAAACAAAGAGAATCCATGTGAAAACAGAGTGTGTGTGGAACAGAAGCTAGTGAGAGAGAGGAGAGGTTGAAACTGAAAGGAGTGAGCTAGAGTTTCTTTAATCACATATTTTTTTCTTTTCCGTTGATTCTTCACGCTTCTACTAGCATGCACGAGTGGATAAGACATAGCAATAGTTTTTTTTTTGCTTTGGAGCCTTCTGAGTACTTGAAATTCGATAGTGATCATTGGCCAGACAATGATCAAGATCAGTGTTTTATTTTTGGCGGGCATGTTCCCAACCAGTTGATCTATTAAAGCTCCATTGAAGTATGTGACTAGGGAGGACGTGGCAGCCATGTTAAAGGGTCTGCTAGCTGTGGTAGTATCGGTAAGCCCACTTAGTCCAGTGCTATTATACTCAATTTGTTTCTCTTAAGAAATATTCTCATATACAGCATATATTTCAAAGTATGATTCATCAGTTATCTCTCAATGTTAGCACTAATGGCCCCCACTGGTTGGCTGTGTTTTAATTAAGAGACATTATTATGAACGGATGCTAGAAGAAGGAAGGTAGGGAGAGATTTGCATTCAGAACAAGGTCAGAGGTTGAAGCACTGGACAATGGCTACAAGTGGAGGAAGTATAGGAAGAAGATGGTGAAGAATAGCACAAATCCAAGGTGGGTGGGTGTACCTAGTGAGAAATATATATATATATATATCCACACATTTAACCCGTGCTTCCATTTTAGGTATCTAGGGGAAATATGAGCAAGTAAAAGAAATGCTAGCTGTTTATGAAACTTTTGTTCGTGTGATGATTACCTTATGTGTGTTTATGAATGTAACAGGAATTACTATAGGTGTTCAGAGGAAGGATGCCTTGTGAAAAAGAGAGTGGAGAGAAATGGGGATGATCCCAAGTATGTCATAACAACCTGCGAAGGCATCCACACTCACAACAATTTTTTTAATTATATTAATAAATAATTATAATTATATAATATCTTGTTAGGATATTAGTGTGGTCATATATATTTCGGCAATTTATAATAAAGAAGACATTGAATATAATTAGTTTTAATTTTATTGAACAATTAATTTA